GCTAGTAAGTGAGGCAGTAAGAAAGCGTGTGTGTGAAAAAAGGTAATTGAACTGCAGTGTTTGCATAAACTACGCATGTGTAGCAGTCATTGCAATTACATCCCACTACTCCTTAAGCTACAAGGCATTGCTGTGGGCTGCGTGTGGTTTTTTGGGGGGAGCCTGTATGGCAGTCATCTTCAGACCTCACTCTTGCTTCAGTACTTTTGCCTCTTTTTCATGCACACATAACACAATAACATTGAATGCATGTTACTTTTCCTCTGCAGCTTATTGCAGTCCCTGTGGAAAAGCCTTTAAAACAATCTTGCTACAAGTGTGTAGGGTACTGGACCTGGTGATGCTCAAGCAAGTGGTGTAAGAACCATCGTGCAGGCTGGTTTCAGACTTGTGCTTGTTATTGTAAACATTTGTCTAGCTTTGAGGGGACGCATCAAAACTTGGTCAAAAATGCATTAAATGTCCTGAGCTGGAGGCTTTCCAAGTGTGGGTAAGCCAAATGCCTCTGCTTAGCAGCAAACTCTGCACATTCTTCTTGGATTTGCATCTCTAAACTTGTGCTTCTGTGTTCAGTGTGTTGCTATTCAAGTTAAAAACAGTGCAGTTCTCAGCAGTCTGGAAATGAGTCTTGAAGCATTGGCGTACACTCCTGTGCACTTTGACAGCAGCAAGCCAGATACTGGTGTGAGGCAACAAAAAGGCTTGCTGTGAAAGCCCAGTCAATGAATGAACTCGTAAAGCTCAGGACTTATGCCACTTCCTGGATTTATGCCTCTAATTGAGGTTACAAATTAACAGGTTTATGGAACAGGTGTTGTAATTCACAACTAAACAGAAGAAAGCTGTTAGAGCTGCCTGCAGATACTTGCTAACGTAGCATAGTTAAGCTGAAAACTGTTCAACTTGTGGATGTTGGTACAGCTGACTAAGTAATGCCAACCCTGTGTAAGTGCAGGAAACCTGCCTTCAAACTCCTTTATTAAGGAACCAAAGATTAATCTGTTTTGTGAGTTGTCTTACTGTCTTAAAAAGTAATTGGCATGATTGTCTCTGACTTTATTCTAAATCTTATCTCCCAGGTAAAATATCAATACCTAATTTTTGTGGTTTTAGTTTCAGGGCCTGCCTTAGACTGTAGTAATGCTGAGTTTCCTTGGATCTGTTTTAGTTACAAGTAATATTTCACTACAAAATAAGTTTCTTTTCTTGCCTTTCTGTAGGGGTGGGCTTTACAGCACAATTGCACTTGCTGTGCAGCCAGAGTGAGGCTGGCTAGTCTCGTCTTGTTACTGTGTATTAAGCTCAAACGAGTTGAGTATTTGTGGGTTTAGGCTGACTGCCACACAGTTCTAGAGTGGAAAAAAGCAAGTCTTATACACATGCATTCTCTGCATTTGAACTTAAATTGCATGAGTGAATGGGTTTGGAAAGTGAAATCTCGAGCCTCAAGTGACATGTCGGATGCTATTGCAGTCTGCCATATACAAATACCAACTTCAGATTACTTTCCTCAATGTTACATTCAGGGAAACATCTCCAGGTCTGGGCATTACCTTGGCAATTGCTCCAGCACCGAAGGTCTCCAACTGACATTGTGCTAAAATCTGAGTTTGTGCCCTAAGACAGTTGGCTTGAAGCAGTTGGAGCAACAGTGACTGATGAGCTTACTGGTGTCAAAGCAGCTCTAGTCCAGTATGGGACCTTCCATATAAAGCTTCAGCCTGGAGTGAGCTTTCAAAGAAGTTCCACAAATCCCTCAATTAGGGTTTTTTTCAGGAAATGGACAATCTTGACTGCACCAGTACCAACATTGCTACTTGAATTGATCTTAACTTGTAAATGGTCTCCTTTTCTTGATGGGTGTTAACATACCACTAAGGCTTTTCCACTTCTCTGCCATGAATAAGTACCTCTAAAAGAGGAGGGTTTTTTAATTGTTGGTCTCAATTCCAGGTGGATAAACTGGATGCATCAGAGTCTTTGAGAAAGGAAGAAGAGCAAGCTACAGAAACACAACCTATCGTTTATGGTAATGCTTTAGTTCATGTGTTGTAACACATTGCTTTTAAATCATTGCTTCTCTAGATGTAATTTTTGCCCAGGGAAGTCCTGTGAAATCGAGTCTCAAGGGAATGTGTTCCAAAGTACTATCTAGAGTATGGCATTAATGCTGTTGCTGCTAAGATTGGATTTGGACTGCAGGATTTAAGCTTGTCCTCGCTCATACTAGGGAGTTATGTGTTAAACACACAAATGTCTCCAGGGAAGTTGCAGGAATTCTGCTGACTGAACTCTCAGTACTGAGGAATAAAGATGAAACTGTTCTGTCTTCCAGGTCAGCCACAGCTAATGTTGACAGCAGGACCCAGTGTCGCAGTTCCTCCACAAGCACCTTTTGGCTATGGCTACACTGCACCTCCGTACGGGCAACCGCAGCCCGGCTTTGGGTACAGCATGTAAGATGCAGCACAAGTCAGTTTGGAGCTAGCATATTTTCTTACTGAAACTCCACCGTCCCTCCCCGCTTTAACTCATAACAGGGAAAAGCAAGAGTTCTGCCTCGTGTTCTTGTAACCTTTATTTCATGAAGGACTGTTTTTTCTAGCGCAAACTATTTGAATCACTTATGTTAAATCTTTTTCACATTCCATGTCATTTAGACTTTACTTTGAAAGGGGAATAGTTTAAACAACTTTGTTCAAGTGGGCTTTTGCAGGACTGCTTATTACCATTAAGTCTATTGTGAAGATTCTGATTTGCACTCTATAGTGTTACACTCTAATATTGAATCTTAAGTTCATTGTATGTGAGCAGCTTACGGTATGTACTGTCTATTCTAAATGCATTTAAGTCTCACTGTATATTCGGAGAAAGCTAAAGCGAAGATACTTGTATTTGACCTTGCAAGACTGCTGACAAGAGACAACACTAATCAGCATATCCTACCCTGGTTGGATTGCATAGCTCTAAAAGAATTTAAAATGCGTACAGACAACCTTGCCTGACTTAAAATGAGTAAAAAGTTAACCTATGCAGGTTTTTCCAGTTATGCATATAGAAAATGCTAGTGTCTTTTTGCTCACTCCATATGTAACAGATGACCTTATGTTGTGCTGTATCCTGTGCTTTTGTGGGACATTCCATTCAGGAACAGAGCACCATGATTCCAATCTGTGTATTTACTAACCCTGCCCTGAGGTTTGTGTATGTTGGATATTGTGGTGTTTTAGATCACTGTTTTGAGTGTACAGAAGAGAGAATTCAAGCATATTGCTGTTCAGTTTTGTTTGTGCAATTTGAAATTACTCAATTTAAAAATAAATTACTGGACTGTGGACATGCTGCATAGTGGTAGCTTCACTTTACTGTCTTCAAAAGGACCTTTGAACTCGAACTAAGTATTACAGTGCTAGTAGCATGGGGCATGCAAGTGCGTACATTCGAGGGTATGAGGGGCCACTAGAAGAGCAGCGATGGAGACCATTAGTGGTGTCTTGCACCAAGGGGGCAATACAAGAAAATATGTAACGCTTTCTCTATAGAAAGATTATGCCAGAGAAAAGAAAATAGCACTTTTCAATAGTTGGCTGCTTTGTGGTCAACTACAGCATATTTGAGCAGATGATACATTAGGATTGCAGTAGGGTGTGTCAGTTAAATTGAGATGATGTTCTAGGTATGTAAGTTGCCTTAAATATATTTAGCTTCAAATAAAATTGACTTAAATGTTTCTCTATGAATACTGTCATATTTGAGTATAATGAGTATTACCATCCTGGCCCTGTTTGTGATAGCTGTAGAAGCTTCTGTCCCTGAACCAGGAGCTGTCCCCAGTGTCAGGTTCCAGCTCTGAGGCTGCCTCCCCACTTGCAGTGGGTGTGCCTGTCGAGCGCTGCAGCAGTGGCAGGTGGAATGATGCCATGGACCCTGCCCCGGGCTCGAGGTCTTTGTTCAAGAGTGTGGTAGAACAGGAGTCTCTGCAGGGAGTAGCATCAGGCTTTGAAAAGGATTATGCCTAAATAAGAAGTACAGTATAGAAATGTCCCCATTCTCTGTTTATTATACTTGCTTATGCCTGCATTTCAACCTTTCTGACATTCCCTGTGGGTCTGTAACCTTGACTGATGGAGATAAATCCTTCTGTTCTCTTACAATGTATTTCATAGGAAACGTCACTGAAAGATGTGGCCGAGAGGCTGGAAAAGACGTGCTCAACAGCATTCTCCCAAAACAGCTCAGTTACAAAACTGACTTGTAGAAAGCCCACCTGCTTAGAGCAGTGTTTTACAGGGTTAGAGCTACAGCAGAGCTGCAAGGGTAGAATTTACAGGAGCTGTGATCAGCGTGTTCTGAACTCTGTCCAGTAACATCTGTAAGGAGCGCTTCCTTAAACCCAAAACCTGTTACTCCCCAGTGAAACAGGATTTAACTTAGTCTGTATGACAAACTCTATATGTGGGATAACTCCCTGACCCTTGGCTAAACTGGGCCTGCTGAGCTTCTCCCCGAAACTGTTGAGTGGTGCTGAAGGTCAGGGCTGCCGAGCCTGTTTAACGTGGTCGGTCCCAGAGCACTTACAAGCTCTTGCATCAGTTACTCCATCAGAAACGGTTTGTGCAGGAAGTTGGCTACAGCCACCCCCAGCTCTGTGGGGCAATTTTAACTGCTGCAGCAGCTATTCTTTTCTGAATTAAAGACTCTGTCCCTTCAAAAAAAGCCTCCCGTAAGGCAGAGAGGGGGAACCTGTCATTTTTAACACATGGGACAAATTAACTTAAAACATTATTAATGCTTCTATTTAGCCAGTAAACCAAAGCGTAAAATCTTCAATTAACTACACAAGTTAAATATACTGGGTTCTTTCTTATGGGTGGCCAGACTCTGCCAGTTCTACTTTCCTGAGCTCCACTGAGCCTAGCATTTTCTTTCCCACTGTAGACCACACAGAAGCTGGAGAAACTCACAAAAGGCATTAATATTAAACTTTGAAAACGTACAGCTTTTACAAAAAGCTGATAACTTTATTCATACTGAGAGAATATATGGAAAAATCCCCCAACTTGGGGGTTTATCCCTTCAGTACCGATACACATCAACTCATTCAGCTTCCTTTGGTCCCTGGTTTAGAAGAGTTTCAGGTGACCAGAAACTTTATCTACTACATCAGCTGGTCCCGGTCCGATACCAAGGACTGTCTGGGAGCCTGGAGCTATCTGAGTACGACCGGCGTCTTGTATTAAGCTCACGGTCAGTCCGAGCTGTTTAGCATCAGCCAGGAGTTGGATCAGAGTCTCTTCATCCGGAGCTCTGAGGACCACCTTAGGCTGCCCGCAGTACTCCCACTGTTTCAGGAGTTCAGGGTTTCTTCTCTGAACTTGCTTGTAGGCGGAGACAGCAGCATGGGAACACTGTGCTGCTACTTTACCCTTTCCCATCTTCAAATCATTGCGGACGATCAGCACCATCTTGAACTCCCCGGACTCTCCCATGATGTTTGCTTCACTCCCCAGGTTGCCCGCAGCCGCAGTCGATCTGGCTTTGGAATGCCGTAAGAGCCTCCCGCGAATGCCCCATCCCAGGCACATTCCGCACGCGACTCCGGCAATGACAGTGAGGTACCCGGGTTTAGAGAGATAATCCATGGTGGGTTTTGGAGACTGGCTACGCAGGGCGGAAAAAAGGCAGAATTTACTCGAGCTGTTATCAATTTGTGCAAGTGGACCTGGTTATTTGTAGACAACATTTCTTAAAAAAACAAAACAAAAAAAAAACCAACAAAGCAACCAAGCTATTTTGTCTTTGGGAAAGGGTGTTCAGAGACCCCCCTCCTCGGTGCACGGTCTCCTGCTTTCCCAGCGACAGCTTTCTACCTGCCAACACGCTGCCGGGGCGCAACCAACCAGAAAAAAACCCGCAAATTATGTGGAAGTTACACCCAAAAAGGGTGTGAGAAACGGCAAAATGGTGAGGGTTTGGGGTTGGTTTTGTTTTTTTTTTTTTTTTAAGTCAATTCCCAAAATTCAGTTGAGGGCTGCTTCCCGGGAGGGAGCGAGGGGCGGAGCCGCCTCCAGCTCCGCCGAGGGCTGCGGCAGGCTCTGCGCAACGGCAACCCCCTACAGCGGGCGCGATCGAACCCGATAGAAGCAGGAAAGAAAAAAAAAAAAAATCAAGGACGAAACACGAACGGGAACAGAGCCCGGGGGGGAACCGGCGCCCTCGACACCCTCCACCCCCCCCTCACCTGCCGCCAGGCCGCTGCCGCCTCGGTGCCACCCGCAGCGCGTTGCGAGTGCGGCGCGCGGGAAGTGACGCTCCGCGGTAGGCGGGGAGGGGGCGGGGTCAAGGCCGCCCCCTCCTTCCGGGTTGGCCCCGGGCCCAGCGGCAGGCGCCGGCGCGCAGCGGAGCGGGGTGAGTGTGGGGCCGGGGCTGATCGCGGGGCTCGGCTGCCCCCCTCCGGGGCTTCCCCGGCGGGCGGGGACCCGCTGCGCCATCCCCCGCTTCTTCCCCCCACCCCTCTCCTCTCCCCTCCACCCCTCTCCCCTCAGCGGCACCTGCGCGCTTTCCCTCCTCCCACCCCCTCAGCACCGACCTCGGGGCCGTTCCCCTCAGGGCCGCCCGGGCCCGGGGTCACACACACACACAGACACCCACACACACGGCCCCGGGGGGGGGGGTGGGTGGTTTTCGGCGTCGTTCTGGGGCACCGTGACCCAGCGGCGGCCCACGCCGCGTTGTGTAAACGTGAGGCCGGGAGAAGCGAGGGGCTGGGGGGGGGGGGGACGGGGAGGCGGCCGCGGGGGTCGGGAGCGGGAAGGAGCCGGCCTCAAGCCGCCTCGAAGTGCGGGAGGAAGCTCGTCGCCGTCCTTCAAGGCGAGAGCTGCGCTGCTGCTAATTCATCCCCGGTCCCACTGGAGACCCGCTGTGCTCGGGACACTTCACGGCAGAAACACGCAGGACAAAACCCCGGAAACTGTATGGTAGAAGCGTCCTGCTCCGGCCCAAGGGACGATGCCTGATGACACAGGGAGAAATTCATCCTTCTAAGCCTCAAAGAGTCAGATACCGCCAGTCGTTGTCTGCTTCTCCAGTAGAAAGGTGTTGTGCTCCCCTAGCTGGGTTGCTAGCCACAACCCCGGCATCGCACCGGTTGTCCTTGTTCCTGTAGACCATTCATGGCTTGTCTTACAGACTTGAGTGGTCAGGCCCAAATCCATGAAGACTCTTAACATCTCATTTCTGTTGACTGAAGTTAAGCATCTAGATGTGCTTATCTGGTTTTCAGGTCTCTGACCAATGTGATCTAGTGATTACAGAAGGTAATAAAGCAGTAAGATTCCTTTTTTGTTCCAGTTTTCTCTCTTAGATGTTTGGGAAGTCATTTAGGTGACCTGATAATAGATGTTTATAAAGTGCTGTGAATCCAGGTTATCCAATTTGAGCTGCACATACAACATTTCTTCAGAGTTCTCTCTTGACCTTGTTTTCTGTGCTATGTGGGGTGGTGCTTACCAACAAGTGGGTATCCTGGCTTACTTAATAATATGGGCTGAATGCTCTGAGGTGGAGAAAATGTGATATTGCTCTTTCATGCCTTGGAACATACATGTTTTGTTTGAGCAGTGGCTTTTGGTACTGTTTCACTGTTAGGACTTCGGCTCTTCTAAGGTTGTTTCACCCTGGTTCCTGCCCGATCGGCTGACTGGGGGTTCTCATCCTTTGTACTGTCTTACCTGATGATAGCATATATAAGCTTTTCTTAATGCATTAATTTGCCTGTTAAAATGGGCTTCATTATGTCAGTCCTCTTTCTTTCAATCCATTATTTCTGCGTCATGGGATGGACTTTTCTTTATTCCTTATTGGTCATAAATGACAGTTGTAATGATGGCTTCATCCCATGTTTTCAGATGAGAGTTTGAAAAAACATGTTTCCAGTTGTGCAATGGGAGATGAGCACTGCTTATTAATTTGAGCTAAGCTTCATGTCCTACTTAACAGCTGAAATCAATGCTGCTTGTAATTTCTGTGGGAAAGGACAGGAGGAGACTTGGTAGCTTCTAAGTGCGTAGTGGCCATGAGGAAGGTGAGTATACTGGAAGCAAGCCTTTTAGCTGGAACGGCTGCATTATTTCCACTTTAAAGCTTTTTTCCTGTGGTTGTCTTTGAATGTCATAGCTGTTTCTGACTACATTTTGTGAATACTTCTCAGAATGTTCTGTGTAATTAGTGCATATTTTGGGATATCCTCTTGTTTTTTAATAAGCTTTGGTTTTAAAACAGAACAGAAAACTATTATTCCTGATGTAGAGTAGGAGTAGGCCAGTTTTTCCGGTATAAACGTGATGGGAAACGTATTACTATCTGCAGGTTAGAACTTTAACTTCTGTTACTTAATGGAGAAGCATGAGCTGGATGAACTTTGCTATTCTGTGAGAACAAAGGACATGGCCTTGAAGCTGTTGCGACACTAAACTTTCTGTATTCCTGCACCAGGTTGCAACTACAGTCACAGGGCAGGTCCTTCCTGATTTTGGTGCTGCACTGGCCAGGGGTACCCAGGAGACAGCGAGGCAGGCAGTTGTTCAGTGTATTTCAAACTTGTTGAAGGAATATTCTCTCTTTTGAAGCTCAGAATTAGCCTCTGTGATTCATCTTGTATAGGCAGTGTATTCTCACTGAACAGCCGAGGCAGCCATAGTGTAACCAGAATTGGTTCCAGTTAGAGACCGTTAGCATCTATGAAAAGCAGAAGTCATGGTCTCAGGAGCACATTTCAGATTCTGTTTTCTGTGGGGCTTGTTAGGTGCTTCTGTTCATTCCCTTTCATCTGTGATGTACCTTCTCTTACAGAAGGAGCGCTCTGGATATAATGGCTGATCACATTCAAACTTCTTCTTGTGAGGAAACTGTCTCCCAGCACTTACTAGATAGTATAAAGGCAAATGTTCCTACCAAATCTGCACTCTACCAGTGGCTGGAAGAGTCAGATGGCAGATCTTAAGGCTGGCTTTGTACTCTTATGTTTATAACTCTATGTTCTTTCCTAGTCAAATTTTAGCAGGCCTTCTTTGTGCAGGATATATTGTCATCTTGTGATGATTCTTGTGACTTTTCTTTCTTCTGTGCCTTTTGTTAGCATAGGGAGGCTGACAATGGAGAGCTTGACCTGCCACCTTCTGAACACAGAATGCAGCCTGAGGGCCGAGACAAACATCTTGGCAGATAGTAGATGTATGGATTTCTACACAGCCTTCTGGAACTGAGGATGTAAAAGATACTGTGTCTGTTTAGTCACCTGAATATTAAGTTGTGGTGTTCTCTCCAATGCTGTGTGACCCCTCTCTTGAAAGCCTTTCTCTCTACTCCTATCTAGTCTTTCCAAGTCATCGGTTTTGGTGAAAGGAGGGCTTGGGCATACGTGATGTGCCCTCCCAAGAGGTATGTTATTGTGGCAGTGATCACTGCTGTGGTAGTACTTGTCACTGAGTCCTGCTTGGAGAGTGGACACCAAGTACAGTGTATTGTAATGCTGTATCATTCAAAATTTGATTACAGTTTAGCTGGGCACTTGGGAAACAGAAGTTAGCATAGCAGCACAGCAGTAACACTAAGGAGGCCTGTCGTGATCTCCTTGGGTCACCTTCTCAGCAACATATTTCACCCTCTTTGACAACCTTGACTCGGTTTCCTCAGCAGCTGGTTGAGCGTTGTCCTAGTCAGCAGAGGAGCCGTCTCATTCTGTAAGCTGTGATTGTACCCCAGCCTTGCTGCCTCCTGCCAGCGTAAGGAGCACAGAACTGATCTGTAGCCTGAGATGCTACGCTGGTAATGTTCACATTCCCAGTTATTTCAGTTTCCTTTCTTATATTTACATCTTTTTTTTTTTTTTTTTTTTTTTCCCTGAAGTTTCAGTAAGAGATCACTGCAAAGACCTGAGCAGCATGAATTTTGCCTTTCATCTTCCATGCCTTTTCATCTATATATGGTGTAATGACTACTGTATTATAGCACCTGATTCTACTGCTGGATCTACATAGACAACCATCAATATTCACGTCTCACCTGAGAAAATCCACCAAGAACAACATTTTAATATATGTGGCCTTAACAGCAGGGACAGAACTTTTAATAACCTCAGAAGAAAATGCATGGCATCCCTGAAACTCGTGTTACAATAATATTAAATCATTCTTTCCTGAAAGATGTCCCAAAGTATTTTTGGAAAAAATGAAATTTTAACCCTAAATTGCAAGATGACTTTTTGAAATGGTATTTAGCTAGCAATTTGAAAATAGGTCTGGTGTACAGAGGCATAACCCACAAAATGGAAATCTGTGGTCTTTAACTGAATTACTTTTCCTTTGAGGTATTAAACTATTTTAGTTAGAAAAACATTTTTAGTGTAGGAATAAGTGCACTTATATCAAAGTAACCCATTATAGCTAAATCTGTGGAGATTTTAAACATCTTTCAGATGTGTCCTAATTTATTTTAATTGAATGCTTCCCATGAGTGTTAAAGAACTGGAAAAAATCAAGCAGTTACTTTTTCTATTTTCTGTCGTCTTTAGGAAAGTTATTAACCTTCAAGTTAGGGACTGTGTCAGTTTTATATCACATGATGAACAGTTTTGTCTTACTCTGTAGGGACAGAAGGTTTGGAAGAGCAGTCACTTTGGTCTTGAATGTCTACAGAGCTGAGGACATAGTTGTCTGTTCCCCTGGCTTCAAATACAGAAGAAGTAGTGAAGAGTGACATAGTTGTACGGAGCTGAAAGGGTATGTAATGTTTCACTTCAAGACTGCTCTCATCTTTTACCTAAATGTGTTCATGTGCCACGTAGTCTTTGACTTTTGAGTAAAAGTGCTCTCCAAACTGTTACTTTGCCAAGAAACAGTTAACTTATTCCCTGTGTAAATTGTTGTCTATGTAGACCATTTGATGACAAACAAAACTGTGTTACAGATGCATAATGCTGTCTAGTTTAGTGCAATTACTTACCCACATGTGAGAGTCTGGGTTTTAATCTTTTATTTTCCTTATTGTAATTGGAGAATAGTGGTGTAGATCAAAGAAGGAGGAATGGTTATCAGAAATGTTGAGGAGAATGAAGCAGCAGGATACCAGCCTGATTGGAGCCTTTGGCTTAAGTGCAAGAAATGACAAAAGATTGAAGATGATGTGTTGCCAAGGTGGCTGGGAGAAAACAGCAGCAGAACGGTCTAAGCTATAATCTGGTTCTAGCAGCTGTGTGACAAGTAGCTTTGATGGAGATGAGAGTCAGTGTTCCAGTATCTCTTTAAGTAGTAAGA